TCTGGAAGGGAGGTATGAGACCACCTGATGAAAGAGGGAAGAGATGGGGAAGAGAAATTAGATGGAGAAGATAGACAAAAGCCTTGGTGAGTTATCAAGAAGGTAAGAAATTATCTGGAGAAGAAGGAAGATAGGATAACGTAGGCAAGATGCTAGATAAAGAGAGAGAGAGAGTTAAACCCGTAGGGGACATGCAGGGGGGATAAATAGAAATAATTAAGTCTGATCAGGCAACCTCCAGGTATCAAGGAATAAATGACACTAATACTCCATAAAGGCTCATTTTCTCACAGGATGAATGACACTGTCCAATAACCCCTTTCCACTGTAATGTGAAAAATAAAAAGCATATCAAAATCTAGTACTCTACCAGGTTACTCTAACCGCAAGAGCGTGAGTACCTACGAGTACTGAGGCTTCACTCTAGATTCTCAAGGAACCTGGCGTGGGGAGAATCACCCACACAACCCGAAAATAATGACTAGGTAGGTATGCTTCCCACTGCCCGCCCCCCATTACTGGATTTCGAATTCATGACCCCTTGGTTTAGAGAGGAAATTGTAGTATGGTAAAATGCGTTCTGAAATACGCACGCGAGAGTGCAGGTTTCAGAACGCACTCTAGAGTGGCACTCTGAAATGCCAACACTCGGCTTGTAGTAATAATAGTAATTATTAAAAACAAGAATTAAAATTTTTACGAAATCTATAGGGACGTGAGACCTTTGGTCCATCTACAGATCCGTGCTCTGGACCACTGATGCGTTCCATGGTATATTGGCCCGTGCTCTGGACCATTGACTCGTTCCATGGTCCGTTGGCCCGCGTTCTGGTTCAGCGTATCGTGAGGAATGCTTAGTTATGTAGGAGGTTTATTGTCCTGTATTTCGCCTTAATAGTTGAGCCATTGTTTATCTTCTGTAAGAAAGGGATGTTGGCGAAGCCTTGCACTGACGTGGCGGAAACATCAACATTTCGCTCAGTTTCCTTCAGTCACTGCAACTCTGGCCAACATGAAGAAAAACCGTAGGTACAGAACCAGCTTTAATTGAGAGAAAAAGTGTTTGACTTTTTTGGACAGCTTTGCATCATCTTGCTTAAAAATGGTCTAAATGGACAGAAACGTTGTCTACAAGCGTAGATTTGATGCACAAATAACCCCTGCACATAAGCTTACGACGACGTTTCGGTCTGATTTGCACCGTTTACAAAGTCGGACCCGAACTCCGTCGTAAGCTGCTCTCTCCCATGTGCGGGATATTTGTGTGCTGTTCCAGTCACGGTGATGTGTTGTTACGTTCTTCGTAGATTTGATTTGTTCCAGCCACGATACTGGAACCTGATTTTTATTTTTGAAATGGGGGAAAGGGATGAAAATCCAGGCTTTTTTTTAGGCCAGCGGATGTTTGACCAATGAAGCATTGATCATACGACGAAGACCAATCTCAGTGACCAATTGTCCTGTTTTCTGACGAACGATACACCGTCAACACACTCGGTTGTTATTGCACTTAGCTCACACATTGAGGTCCGTGGTTCGATCCCTGGTATGTGTGGAAACATAAGGGGGTGTTTCCTTAAAACACCTACTCTCCCTGTTCACCTAGCAGTAAGTAGGTACCGACTGGCACCGAAATGCTCTGCATAACGAGGGGCTTTCTGTATAGTATGTCACTGCTGTCAGCTATGGTCTGTGTAAGTTGCATCATGTACTTGTATAAATAAAGATTATTATTATTATTATTATTATTATTATTATTATTTTATTATTATTATTATTATTATTTAATATTATTATTATTATTATATTATTATTATTATTATTATTATTATTATTATTATTATTATTATTATTATTACTTTGTGTTTGAACATTATCATAGGAAATTTCTAGCTTCCCTCTGCCTACCGTTGTTAGTCCCTTCCTGTTTACCGTTGTTACAGCCCCTTCCTGCCTACCGTTGTTACAGCCCTTTCCTGCCTACCGCTGTTACAGCCCTTTCCTGCCTACCGTTGTTACAGCCCCTTCCTGCCTACCGTTGTTACAGCCCTTTCCTGCCTACCGTTGTTACAGCCCCTTCCTGCCTACCGTTGTTACAGCCCTTCCTGCCTACCGTGTTTTACAGCCCTTTCTGCTACCGTGTTACAGCCCCTTCCTGCCTACCGCTGTTACAGCCCTTTCCTGCCTCCGTTGTACAGCCCCTTCCTGCCTACCGTTGTTACGCCCTTTCTCTGCCTACCGTTGTTACGGCCCCTTCCTGCCTATCGTTATACCAGCTCTTCCGTTTATCCTTTCCTCCCTTTCACCTGTGATTTAGCAAGTTCTCTTGCCTTTCCCTTTCTTCCTTCCTTCACAAATATTTATGAAGTTTTCAACGCAACAAATGCATTTTTTCCTTTTGTCCTGCAGCGCCACTTTCTCTCTCTCTCTCTCTCTCTCTCTCTCTCTCTCTCTCTCTCTCTCTCTCTCTCTCTCTCTCTCTCTCTCTCTCTCTCTTATTTACTCGCTTTCTTCTTCCTTTACCGTGGCTGCTGTTCCTCACTTTCCTATTTATCTTCCGGTTTTGTTTCAATTTCACTAATTCTTTTTTTCTACTCTGCTTTATCTTTCCTTGCGCCTTGTTCGTAATTACTCTCTCTCTCTCTCTCTCTCTCTCTCTCTCTCTCTCTCTCTCTCTCTCTCTCTCTATCTATCTATCTCTCTCTCCTAGTCACACCCCATTTCCTTTTTTTTCTTTTTCTCTTCTGCTGCTGCTCCCAGTCTTTCATTATCAAAATTTAGTGTTTGTCGTTTCTCCTCCATTTACTCTGTGATTCACTATACCTTTTCTTTATTTACCGTTTCCCGTTTACACTTTCATCTCTTTCTTTGTCTCTCCGCCGTTTTTTGTTTAGGGTTACTCTTCATCCCTCCCCCTCTCTCTCTCTCTCTCTCTCTCTCTCTCTCTCTCTCTCTCTCTCTCACTCTCTCTCTCTCTCTCTTTCTCTCTCTCTCTTTTACACAGGATTTTATAAGGTTAGGTTAAGGATTCCTAACTTTATTGACAAGCTACGAGCTGTTACCTACATAAGCTCACTTCAAAGTATTTTTATTGTTATGAGACATATAAGTAGGGAACAGGATGAAGTTGGAGCCATCTGTGGGCCAGTATTTTCATTTGATCAACGGCCTTTATCTCGTTGACATCATTATGTTGTACGAATGTGTTCCATACTCGAGTCATCCTGGGTATATATGATCTCAGATGGAGTGATGTTCTGGAGAAGGGTACAGCCAGAGTGAAGTTGCTGCTTTCTGCCCGTCTTGTGGTATAGAAACTTGCTTCTCGCTGTCCTCGAAGTGGATCCAAGTGTGGTACTTTGACAACATTGGCCTTGTACATAACAGTAAGGCCACCCACATCCCTCTTGTGTTGAAGGCTCTGCTGAAATGATAGATCTATCCAGGATTGGTCCAGGCGAGAGATGAGACGTCTTGCTCTGTTCTCTGTCAAGCAGTTGCAGATGAGGGGAAGGGCAGGCAAACCATGAAAGTGGAGCATACTTAATGTGTGAGCGTACTTGTGCCTCATACAGAATCTTGCAACCCTTACTGTCAAGCAGATGCGAGATACGGCGAAGTACTGTAAGCTTCCTGACTGCCTTGTTTGCAAGATTTACAATATGGTTCTTCATGGTCAGTTTGGAGTCAAATTTCACCCCAAGGATATCAACTTCTTCCCCAGGTACCAACACCCCCCCCCATCCATCCTTACTACTGCACCGGCATTACCATCATGGTACTTAGAGACCATCATTTGCGTTTTCTCAGGTGCAAATGTTACCTGCCATCTGCTTCCCCAAGCTGATATAGCTCTTAGCTGGTGATTGATGTAGCTTAGAGCAGCTGGCATTTCTTCTCTTGGATAAGCGAATGTCAGTGTACAGTCATCTGCATATGCATGTGATTCTGGGATGAGATGAAGAAGGTCGTTGAAGTAGACATTCCATAACAATGGACCCAGCACGCTTCCTTGTGGAACACTTGCCCCAATAGGATGTCTTGCTGATTCCGTTCCATTGAGAACTACCCTTAGAGATCTACCATGAAGATATTCACTGAGGAGACATAACGTTGAGCCTGCAATTCCCAGTGCTTGCAGTTTTGCTAAGAGGCCCTGGTGCCACACCCGGTCGAAAGCACCAGCAATGTCCAGTGCTACCACACAGCTGACTTTGGATTCATCCAGTGACTGGTGCCACTTAGTGGAGAAGTTTAACAACAGATCAGCAGGCAGAGTAACCTTTCCTGAAACCATATTGACGATCACAAAGTAGTGAGTGGTAGTCAAAAACTCTGTCATTTGTCTTGAGATTATTGTCTCAAGGATCTTACCAGTGATTGACAGGAGTGACACTGGTCTGTAGTTGCTGATTTTTGTTCTGCTCTTCTTTTTGTGAACAGGGACTACATTTGCCTCTTTCCACAGAGAAGGTAATTTTCACTGTACTAGGCAATGCTGAAAGATGCGAGTTAGAGGTGCTGCTAGCTGGTCAGTATATTTTCTCAACAATCTTGGGTTCAACTTGTCTGGGCCCACAGCCTTTTCTTGGTCAAGCGATTTAAGAAGGAAATGCACCTCCTCCTGCCTTATTGTCACCATTGACAGTTTTGATACAGTTCTTGCAGCTAGCAGCTTGTAGCTCTCTCTCTCTCTCTCTCTCTCTCTCCCTCCCTCTCGTTATATAATCTCCCTTCAGGACTCTCACTGGGTACCAAACACACACACACACACACGTAGTTTTAAGGTGGTTAGTCCCTCAAAACTACATCTTCAAGGGTGATGGACTGATTACAGCGTGTCTACATCTCTACTGCTTCTGCTGCCTCTGTATTTGACTGAAGAAGCCTACTGTGTAAGCGAAACGTTTCGGAATCAAGATACCTAAATGTTGCACATACGTCTTTTTAACTTATAATATCGTGTGTGAATTAAACAGCTAACCCTCATTGCTTTTCAGGTTAACGATGTTTAATGTGAACATGAACTCGTTGAACAGGTGAGTGTATGCACAATCACCGATGTACTGATGGCCTCTTGGGAAACTGGCTTCAGTGGTGTTATTAACCACCTCATTGAACCACTTTGAGGAAGAACAAAGTAAAGTGACGTTATTGGCGGTTGCAATATGGCGACTTCCGACCGAGTGGCGCCCGTGTAAACAATGGCTTCCGGGAAGTTTAGTGTCGGTTTTATGCGAAAGTTATTCTTAAGTCCTGGAATCTGAGAAAAAAACACAAAATGTTTCCCTCGAGGACATTACTAGATTACCAGAGTTTGGAAATAGTGATGATTGACTTGTGAGAAGAGAATCTTTGAGCCATGTTTGTATACTGTGAGGCGGATTGAGGGAGTTCTGAGGGATGCACTCAGCTCTGGCCATGACCGTCCATCGCTCCAAGTCGCTGCCAGGAGCCAATGGTGGCGAGTGGGTCGCTGAAGACGATTCCGTGGCGTCACGTTCTGGAGGTTCAGCCGGAGCCAGGGACTCCGGAGTTGTGGTTGTGGCTTCTGACCATCCTTCCTTCGCCTCGGATGCCCACTCCTCCCTCCTTGGAGACTTGCCCTCCGGAGTGATCATGTCCGAGCTGCCTTCCGAGGAAGTGCCGGCCGAAAAGCAGGTCCCGGGGGATGAAGTCTGCAAAAAGGAAACCATAGGACGGCACTACTACCCTGAAGGAGGGTGGGGCTGGGTTGTGCTGCTCATGGCCCTGCTGGTCCATGTGGCCTCCCATGGCCTCCACCAGGCTGCCGGCATCCTCATCCTCCACACCATGAAGCAGTTCCCAGACGAGTCTCTCATTGCGGCAAGTAAGTCTTCATTTTGAGTTGGGTTGTGACGGGTCATTTGTTACTCAGTCTTTACTCCCGTCTTGTGTCCTTCCTCCAATCCTCCATCCCTTTCGTCCTCCCTCCCGTTCGTTCATCTCCCGCTAATCCCTCCCATTAATCTATCCCCCAATCAATCTATCCCTTCTATCCCTTACTCTCATTCTATTCACTTCAAGTTCTTTACTCGTACGTCTTCCCCAGAACGTTTGAGATCGCGCCAGCCTACCATAATATATCCTTAGTAATTAAATAATTTTATTTAGGTACAGGCACACACAAGTGCAATTATCATACATACTGTAAAATACCTAAGATAACCCCAAAAATTCACACAAAGTGACTTGTTTCCAGTGGGTTCCTGGCTTAATTTCCATTGGGGACCCTTGCTTAATTTCCGTTAGGGGTCCTTGCTTTATTTCCAATGGGGTCCATGTTTTATATCCATTGGGGTCATTGCCTTATTTCCACTGGGGTCCTTGCCTTATTTCCATTGGGGTCCTTGGCTTATTTCTATTGGGTCTTTGATTTATTTCCACTGGGGTCCTTGATTTATTTCCATTGGGGTCCTTGACTTATTTTCATTGTCTCCTTGATTTATTTTCATTGGGATCCTTGACTTATTTCCATTGAGTTCCTTGATTTATTTCCATTCCACTGGGGTCCTTGGCTTATTTCCACTGGGATCCTTGATTTATTTCCGTTAGGGTCCTTGACTTATTTCCATTGTCTCCTTGATTTATTTTCATTGGGGTCCTTGACTTATTTCCATTGAGTTCCTTGATTTATTTCCATTCCACTGGGGTCCTTGACTTATTTCCACTGGGGTCCTTGATTTATTTCCATTAGGGTCCTTGACTTATTTCCACTGGGGTCTTTGATTTATTTCTGTTGGGGTCCTTGCCTTTCCATTGGGTCCTTGACTTATTTCCACTGGGGTCCTTGATTTATTTCCACTGGGGTCCTTGATTTATTTCCACTGGGGTCCTTGACCTATTTCCATTCCACTGGGGTTCTTGATTTATTTCCATTGGGGTCCTTCACCGTCTCTAACTTGCAAAAAAAAATCACAAGTTTTAATTATTTTTGTACCCACTAAGAACTTACGCTGCCTCAGCTGCCACAAGAATCCAACAACCGAACAGGGAACATAGTCTGAATAAATTGTAAACAATACAAGTGCATTAGAGGAAAACGGAATAAAATACCGACACGATGGAAAAGAAATAGATGCAAATGATCGCATAATACTGTATTTGTGTCTTTATTTTTCGTAATTACATTAGATATAACCTCCTAAATAAAAGTTTCTGAATAGTTAAATCAGTATTTCGAGGTAAAAATTGTCAACGTTTGTCATTTCTGTCTTAAGATCTTGACCATAAACTGAGAAGCACAACAAATGTGTTTCAGGCGTATATGTTCTTAGCTGGTTATAGTTATTTTTTGTTTTAATTCGATAAGTTTATGGTAGTTTTTAAGAGCTTTTCCTGGTTTGTAAAATATAACAAAGTCTCTAAAATTGTTTTGTCGCGTAACTACGAACAGTGAAGATGGAACACCAACGTAACTGTTATTGTAACTACAAACACTGTAGACGCTACACCACCAGCGTAACTCTGCTGCTGTAACTACCAACACTATAAACAGGACACCACCAACATAACTCTGATCTTGTAACTACCAACTTAACTCTTCTACTGTAACTACCAACAATTAATCTTTCACCACTCAGTTAGATAGTGCTGTAAACTGTTTGCCAATTAAGGCCTCCCTCTGGCCGAAAATTGTACCAATGCCTTATATGCAAAATTCCGGGAAGTAATGTTGACACTAGGTTCAGCATCGGTCTATAAACCTGTCAGTGTGTGAGATATGCCAGCTACTTTATCAGCAGTGTGTGTGTGTGTGTGTGTGTGTGTGTGTGTGTGTGTGTGTGTGTTTCTCACACACACACACACACACACACACACACCTGGTCTGTACATGCTGCAGGCCTGGTCCAGCAACTGGCTCCTGGAATTCAACCCCACCAAGTGCAAAGTCATGAAGATTGGAGAAGGGCAAAGAAGACCACAGACGGAGTACAGTCTAGGGGGCCTGAGCCTACAAACCTCACTCAAGGAAAAGGATCTTGGGGTGAGTATAACACCGGGCACATCCCCTGAGGCGCACATCAACCAAATAACTGCTGCAGGATACGGGAGTCTGACAAACCTAAGAACATCATTACGACATCATTCAGGACTCTGTACACTGTGTACGTTAGGCCAATATTTGAGTAAGCAGAGCCAGTTTGGAACCCTCACCAAGCCAAGAATGTAACTAAACTAGAGAAGTGCAAAGGTTTGCAACAAGACTAGTCGAAGAGCTAAGGGGTATGTCCTACGAGGAGAGGTTAAGGGAAATAGACTTGACGACACTGGAAGACAGGAATGGTAGGGGGGGATATGGTAACGACATATTAAATACTGAGAGGAATCGATAACGTGGACAAAGACAGGATGATCTAGAGATGGGACACAGCATCAAGGGGTCACAGTTGGATGTTGAAGACTCAGATGAACCACAGGGATGTTAGAAAGTATTTCTTCAGTCAGAGTTGTCAGGAAGTGGAATAGTTTGGGTAGTGATGTAGTGGAGGCAGGATCCATACACTTTAAGACGAGGTATGATAAAGCTCATCGAGCGGGAAGAGTGTCCAAGTAGCGGCCATTGGAAAGGCGGGGCCAGGAGCTGTGACTCGACCCCTGCAAGCACAACTAGGTGAGAACACCATAGAGTGGTCAGGAAGTGGAACGACCTAGACAGCGAAGTGGTAAAGGAGAGATCCATCCATAGGTTTAAGAATAGGTACGACAGGGCTCACGACGCCAGGAGAAAGCGAATCCAGTAGCGGCCAGAGGAAAGGCGGGGCCAGGAGCTGGAAAGGCGGGGCCAGGAGCTGCAACTCTAATGAAATTTTATGATAGCCTTAAACGCAGGACGCGAAAAATAGCCCCATGTTTGTTTTCCTTCCTGCCATCCAGACCTGCCATCCAGACCTGCCGTCCAGACCTGCCGTCCAGACCTGCCGTCCAGACCTGCCGTCCAGGCCTGCCGTCCAGACCTGCCGTCCAGACCTGCCATCCAGACCTGCCATCCAGACCTGCCATCCAGACCTGCCGTCCAGACCTGCCATCCAGACCTGCCGTCCAGACCTGCGTCCAGACCTGCCGTCCAGACCTGCCGTCCAGACCTGCCGTCCAGACCTGCCATCCAGACCTGCCGTCCAGACCTGCCGTCCAGACCTGCCATCCAGACCTGCCGTCCAGACCTGCCATCCAGACCTGCCATCCAGACCTGCCATCCAGACCTGCCATCCAGACCTGCCATCCAGACCTGCCGTCCAGACCTGCCGTCCAGACCTGCCGTCCAGACCTGCCATCCAGACCTGCCGTCCAGACCTGCCATCCAGACCTGCCATCCAGACCTGCCATCCAGACCTGCCATCCAGACCTGCCGTCCAGACCTGCCATCCAGACCTGCCATCCAGACCTGCCATCCAGACCTGCCATCCAGACCTGCCATCCAGACCTGCCATCCAGACTTGCCATCCAGACTTGCCATCCAGACCTGCCATCCAGACCTGCCATCCAGACTTGCCATCCAGACCTGCCATCCAGACTTGCCATCCAGACCTGCCATCCAGACCTTCCATCCAGACTTGCCATCCAAACTTGCCATCCAGACCTGCCATATTGACCTACCATCCAGACCTGCCATCCAGACCTGCCATCCAGACCTGCCATCCAGACCTGCCATCCAGACCTGCCATCCAGACCTGCCATCCAGACCTGCCATCCAGACCTGCCATCGCAGATATATAAAAAAATCGAAGACAATTTTGAAAATGAGTCTCTGGTTCCCATCTCATTTCTTTTATTAAATCTAACAGTCGTTCAGAAATCTTCAAATAAAAATATGGAAGTTATTTGCTTTCCATTGCATTATTATATACATTGAGAAGCGCTAAATCCGTAAATACTCAGTAAATTTTTCATATGTTTTAAATAGGAGCTATGCAATGTTGCGAGTCAGCAACAGATAGGAGGGGAAATTCTCTGAGACAAAGCAGAAGGTATCAGTGGCGACCCATGTCACATGGGTCGCTATATACGTATATATGCAGGACAGACCACGGGGGAGGGGAGGTTGAAATCTTTACCTCAAGCACTTTCACAATTCTCAGTGCGTCATCAGGAGCTGTGCAATGTTGCAAGGCTGCAACCAAAGCAGGGAGAGAGGTTTCAGAGTAGCGTAGGTGTCACCGGCCACGGTTACCCTTAGCATACGTGTATATATAAATATATATATAATATATATATATATATATATATATATATATATATATAATATATATATATATATATAATATATGCTTAACAGTTCGCAAACAGGAGAAATTATTTACAAACATTATCTCTCAGGCCAAAGCAGGGTTCGAACCTACACACTGCATCAAAGTACTTAGTACCTTCTCTAGTGAGCCAGATCCCGGTTATATAAGCATGGGCGCCTAGCTGGGATCTGGCAGAGTGAAGAAGGTACTACGTATTTTGGTGCGGAGAGTGTAGGTTCGAATCCTGCTGTGGACTGAGAGATAATATCTTATTTATATATATAATATATATATATATATATATATATATATATTATATATATATATATATATATATATATATATGTTGTGTGTGTCTGTATGTTTTAAACGCGTAATGACTCTGGAAAAAGAAATTAATCAAGTGTTTTATAGGGCATCAACATGTACAAAGATGTAATTGTTTTAATCTCTCTTGTTGACTTGCAACTTTGCAACATTTACGGTCTGTTATACCTGGAACTGCGTCACTAAAATGAAATGAAGAGCAGATGTGTTAAACTTGGAGAGGTAATCAAGGTGTGACGAGAACTGACACGTCTGCAAGAGGTCGGCCTCTGGGCACTTCAGAGTGACTTGAGTCTGGTCAGGGGCTCTTGATTCGAGAAACTGGATTTTCATTCTTGGATCGAACCTTAAT